GTGGTGGGCACATATGCAATATACAGATGATATATCATAGAATTGTGCACCCCAATAAATGTAATTTTAAAAGTAATTGTCATTCTAATTAATTTTAAAAATGAGGATGAAACAAAGAAAGTTAAATAGTGGATCTTCATTACAAAATTTTCTAATGTAACTTCTTCAGATTGAAGGGAAATAATAGATGGAAACCCAGAACTAGAGGATGAAATGAAGAGCACAAAAATGATAAATATATGGGTAAATTTAAAGGTTATTTTTTGTCTCCTTATTTAATTTATGTAAGAGGCAACTCTTTAAAGCAAAAATAATATATTGTGAGTTACTATATATTTAGAAGTAAGATGTATGACATTAATAGTACTGAGGATAGGGTTTTGTCAATAGGATTATACGGTTACTAGAAGCCCTGTGCGAGAAATTGTACGGCTCTGCCCACCCGCGTGCTCCTCACCATGCTCACAGCCCCTCCCACCTGCACTCGCCTCACCACACACCTTGCCACGCCCACCCACCCGCCACCCCGCCCACCTGTTGGCCACCAGCCTTGCTGCCATCAGAGCCTGTGGGTTGCCCCGGAGGGCCCAAGAAGTGCTCCATGCACCTCCTGGTGACCGGTTGTTTGGTTGTTTCAGCATTATGGCCACTGGCTTTTTATAATGTAGACTAGAGGCCCAGTGCACAAAAATTTGTGCACTTGGGGGGGAGTGGGGAGTCCCTCAGCCTGGCCTGTGCTCTTTCGTAGTCTGGGACCCCTCAGGGGATGACCACCTGCTGACTTAGGCCTACTCCCTGGGGGATTGGGCCTAAGATGGCAGTCAGACATCCCTCTAGCAGCCCGGCAGCCCTCGGGGGGTGTCCACTTGCCAGCGGGGAGCAGACCTAAGCTGCAGTCGGACATCCTTAGCACTGCTGAGGAGGAGGGAGAGGCTCCCACCACCACCGCTGTACTGGCAGCCATCAGCCTGGCTTTTGGCTGAGCAGAGCTCCCCCATGTGGGAGCGACTGACCACCAGAGGGCAGCTCCTGCATTGAGCGTCTGCCCCCTGGTGGTCAGTGTGTGTCATAGTGACCAGTCATTCCCAGTCCTTCTGCTGTTAGGGTCAGTTTGCATATTACCCGTCTACTATATAGGATAGAGGCCTGGTGCACGGGTGGGGGCCGGCTGGTTTGCCCTGAAGGGTGTCCCGGATCAGGGTGGGGGTCCCGCTTAGGTGCCTGGCCAGTCTGGGTGAGGGGCTGAGGGCCGTTTTCAGTCTGGTGGGTGACTGAAGCTCCCAACCTCTCCTTTTTTTCTTTTTTTTTTATTCTGGGATTTATTTACCTTCTATGGCTGTCCCTGGAACTGAGAGGTGGCTTTACCTCTGCGGCTCGGCTCCAGCTCTGAGACCTCGGCTGCTGAAAGCAGGTATCTGTGTTTGTTTGGCTTCTATAATTGAAACACTGTTTCAGCTCCAGCTCTGAGGCCTGGTTGGCTGAAAGCAGGTTTCTGGGGTTTGTTTAGCTTCTATAATTGCAACATTGTTTCTTAGAGTGCAGCTCAGAGGCCGGCAGCAGCAGGTGGGGAACCTTGGCTTCCTCCATAACTGGAGCAAGCAAACCTCCTATTTGCTTCAGCTGCCTGGCTGCCGGCCGCCATCTTGGTTGGCAGTTAATTTGCATATCGCCCTGATTAGCCAATGGGAAGCGTGTCGGAGATATGGTTAATTACCATGTTTGTCTATTACTAGATAGGATAAGGTTCTTACATATTACATGAGATGGTGTAAAACTAATTCTAGGTAGACTATGTATGTTAAGTTCATGGTGCATATTGTAATCCTTACACACACACACCACAGAGCAGAGGTATAGCTAAAAAGCCAGTAAAAGCATAAAAAGAGAGAATTATCCCAGAAGAAGGCAGAAAAGGAGTAACAGCAAAACCAAAAAGATGAAACAAATAACGGATGGTAGATGTAAATGGAGCCATCAATTATGATACTAAACGCATATGGATATGGATATGGACTAGCCCCTTTCCTTCCCTGGGCTGGGAATTGGGCAGGGACTCACCTGCATGGTCCCTGAGGTTGGGAACAGAGCTGCAAACTTGCTAGAGCCTTGGCCAGGGCTTAGACTAGGCTGGGGGCTTGGGTAGCATGTTTGCTGGACCAGTGCCCACCCCAAGTGGTTGGTGCCAGCAGAGCTAGGTGAAGGAGGCACCTAGGTGCCTGGTGGACTGAAAAGAAAATTTTTTTTATATGTAATAAGCAAATAAGTAAATACCTAGGCAGAGATGTAATCAGGTCATGTGACTTAGATTTTGCTCCAGGGGCTATGACAATGCTGTTAAAATGGCTTTTGGCTGATAGTCTCTTCCAGCAAGGGGAGGTATATGGAGCTGGAGCCTCAAAGCCCAGGTTAGGAAGCCCAGGTGTGCTTTGTGGGCTGGCTCCTCACCTGTCCCCTTGCAAATTGCTAGTGACACTACTGCTGATGTGTGTCACCACTATGTGTATCCTAATGTTTGGGAGGTCTGAGGAGGTAGTGTCCACCTCTACAGAGTGTGGGGCTGGAGGAGGGGTGGACAGCAGATGAGATCACATGAAAGAGAAGACATGTGAGAGATTTTGAAAGATAAGTGGAATTTTCCAGGTAGCAAAAAGGAAGTTAGATTAGTCAGATAGAAAGGCAGAGAATGTTTGAGAATATTTAGGAAAGGTATCTTCTTGGGCTAGGGTGGGCGATGAGGCAGAAAATTGAGTCAGGGCCAGTTTTTTAAAAAAATAATTCTTGCCCTAACCGGTTTGGCTCAGTGGATAGAGCGTCGGCCTGCGGAATGAAGGGTCCCGGGTTCGATTCCGGTCAAGGGCATGTACCTTGGCTGCGGGCACATCCCCAGTAGGAGGTGTGCACACCTGATCGATGTTTCTCTCTCATCGATGTTTCTAACTCTCTATCCCTTTCCCTTCCTCTCTGTAAAAAATCAATAAAATATATTTAAAAAAATAATTCTTTATTGTTGGAAGTATTATGTATGTCCCTTTTTTGCCCCATTGACTCCCTCCAGCCCACTTCCCCCTCCTCCCCCAGGCCTTCACACTCTATTGTCTGTGTCCATGGGTTATGCAGGGCCAGTTAAAAAAAAATATAGATATAGATATAGGTATAGATATAGATATAGATATAGATTTCAGAGAAAAAGCGAGAGGGAGAGAGAGATAGAAGCATTAATGATGAGATGGAATCATTGACCGGCTGCCTCCTGCACACCCCACCTGACCGGGAATGGAGCCGTGACCTCCTGGTTCATAGGTCAAAGTTCAACCGCTGAGCAAGCAACGCCAGGGGCAAGGCAGGGCCAGTTTTCAGGCATCTTGTGTCTCAGGAGAGGGAGTAGGGAAGCCCACGGGCAGCCTGAAGGCCCTTAGGGGAGCCCAGGAGCTGGAGAGATTTCCAGGTCCTCTCTGAGGTCTTAAGCTTTGTTCAGGGCTCCCCATTCCACAGCCTGCACCAGCCCCAGCCACTCCTTGGTGGCCTCCTGCCTCAAGGTGCTATTAGCATTTTACCCTTGGGTCTTCCTGAGGTTTCTAGTCCCGGGAAGACCCAGAGACCGAAAGGAAAGACTTGACGGGGAGGCCTTTGAGGCAAATACGATAAAGCTCCAAAGCCTGTGAGTTTGTTTGGAGAGAGTACACAGTGGTCCCTCTTTACCCACGGTTTAGCTTCTCGTAGTTTCAGTTACCCGCCATCAAGTGTATAGTCTGATATGAACATTAAATGGCAAATTCAAAAAATAATGAATTTGTAAGTTTTAAATTGGGCTCGGTTTTGTGTAGACCCCCACCCCTCTCTCCTGCCAGGAATGTTAGTCATCCCTTTGTCCAGGGTGTATTGTGCTATCCCCCCACTCTTGGTTATCAGATAAATGGTGACAGTATCACAGTGCTTATGTTCAAGTAACTCTTATTTTACTTCATAATAGTGCCAACGTGCAAGAGTGGTGATGCTGGCAATTTGGATGTGTCAAAGAGAAACCGTAAACCCTTCCTTTAATTGAAAAGGTGGATGTACCAGTATATATAGGAAAAAATTTGTTACTATCTGTAGTTATAGGCATCCACTTGGAGTCTTGGAACGTATATCTGGTACGTGTGTATGAGTGTGTGGAACTACTGGACTGTGCCCTGAAATGTTTATCAGGTACCTCTATGTGTGAGCAAGTCTCTGTAGATACTTTATGGACATCATTGCTTATACAAGCTTGAGATGTGGTTTTGTCCTCAGGAGACTTATAGTCTATCTGAAAGCCAAACCAAAGCAAGAAAAATAAAAGTGAATAATAAAGGTCTATACCAGTGCCTGACGGAGTAGGCAGTCAACAGATATTTGTCAATTAAATGAATGAAAGTGTGAATGAGCCCTAACTGGTTTGGCTCAGTGGATAGAGCATTGGCCTGTGGACTGAGGAGTCCCAGGTTTGATTTCGGTAAAGGGCATGTACCTTGGTTGCGGGCACATCCCCAGTGGGTGCGCAGGAGGCAGGTGGTTGATGTTTCTCTCATCAATGTTTCTAACTCTCTATCCCTCTCCCTTCCTCTCTGTAAAAATCAATAACATGTATTTAAAAAAGAAAGAAAGTGTGAATGAATGAGACTCAAGGTACAGAGGGAGAGTGCAATGCAGGTGAAAGAGAACGACTTGTGGGTTGTCTGAGGAGGTGGGACTAGATCCGGAGAGGGGCCACATGCTCCTGGCTTTCCTGAGCCTACAAGGGCACGGGTGTGGGCGCTGGGCCCAGGATGCCTGCAGAGGACGTGCCGGGCCCAGGGTCCCAACCGCGCTCGCCGGTGGATCCAGGTGCTGCGAGAGAGGGCGCGGTTTTCCGCCGCCCCCCCTCGGGCTCAGAGACCAGAAAAGGGCCCTCGGGGAGGAAGCGCAAGTCCGCGGCCCGCCCCGTGGCGTCCCACCCACGGCTCCCCTCCCCTCCGGCTGCGGGAAAAGCGGCCGCGGACTCTGCTGCTCGCTGTGCGGCGGGCGGGCGCAGCCGAGGCGGAGCGGGGCGGCGGGCGGACGAGATGCGAGCGCAGCCGCTCTGGGCCGCGGTGCTGGTGCTGGGGGCGCTGGCGGGCGTCGGCGTCGGAGGTGAGTGAGGCTCCCGGTGGCCGGAACGCCGCTCCCAGGTGATCCGCATCGGGCATCCCGCCGCAGCCAAGTTTGCAGAGTTGGAGCGGGGAAAGCCGGCCGGCGGGTCCCGCGCGGCTGCTCACGGAGCGAGCGGGGCCAGGCTGGGACCATCGGAGCCTGGAGCTGGGGGACCTTCCCGGCCCCGGGGTGTCAGGGGGATGGCTACCTAGGGGATGGTCCTCCGCGACGCAGAAGTCTTCAGCCGGGTTAGGCGCCTGCTCTGGGCGTGCGCGATGCGCTGAGCCCCGCATTCAGCCGGGGCTGCGCTCATCGCAGGTGGCCTGGCCCGCGGGACGGGGACTGGCCGGGGCAGCGGGGGGAGCTGCGGCTTCCCGGGGCTGATCCCGCGCGTTGGCTGAGGCCGGAGGTTATAGTTTCTCGGATGAGAGGGTGAGCGCGCGGGTTTGCCAGTTACTCGACATTCCTCTTTTTCCTTGTGTTGCACTTCTCCCAGGTTTTACTTTTAATTTAATTTAATTTAATTTATTATTTTTTAAAAACTTGGTGGCTCCTTGCGGGAGCGATTCGGAGGGATGAGGGCTCTGCCTCCTACAGTGTCCCGGGGCGGCAGCGATGCCGCTGCTTCCGGGACAGACCTCGCATCCTAAGTGTCTCCAGTGTTTGCGAGCGCCGCGCCAAGGGTCCCTGAAGCTGGCCTGGATCCCTGGCTTTGTCTCTCCTGCTGCTGCACACACCACCAGCGGCCGAGGCAGTTGGCATGGGGCGTCCTTGGTGCTGGGGAGGGGCAGAGCGCAGCGCAGCCTGGGGGCGCTGCCCGTGGTTCTTCCAGAGCCTCGGAGACCTTCCCGCAGAAAACTCTGGCTCACAGTCCTCTGGGTTCCCGTGCAGAGGAGTTACAAGTGTTCATTTATGTACAGTGGGGCCTTGACTTACGAGTTTAATTCATTCCGAGACGGAGCTCGTTAAGGAGCTCGTTAACTCAAATTACTCTATCAACTCAATGCAAAAAATCAGCCGAGAGATAGCTGGTATCTCAAAAAACTCATTAGTCGGGACACTCGTAAGTAAGGCCCCACTGTACTTTTAATGAAGGGAGTGGTACTTCTTGTAACAATTTAGATCCTGCAGAAAGTACTGTGTGTGTTCTTTTAATACTCAGATGAAGATTTTTTTCCATTGATTTTAGAGAGAGTGGAAGGGAGAGGGAAAGACAGAGAAAAAATATCGATGTGAAAGGAAGACATCGATTTAACCTCCTGCATGCGCCGTGACCAGGATCTGGACCATTGACCGGAATCAACCCGGGACCCTTTGGTCTGCAGACCCACTCTCTATCCACTGAGCCAAACCGTCTAGGGCAAAAGCACTTTTTTTTTTTTTAAAGTAAGATTTATTGATAAGTCCATTTCAAAAGATAGCTATTCAAAAATACTTTGTTGAAAAAAATACTTTGATGACTACCTTCAAGAAGTGTGTGTATAGCCCTAGCCGGTTTGGCTCAATGAATAGAGCGTCAACCTGCAGACGGAAGGGTCCCAGGTTCAATTCCAGTCTAGGGCACATGCCCTGGTTGTGGGTTTGGTCCCCGAGTAGGGGGCGTGCAGGAGGCAGCCAATCAATGATTCTCATCATTGATGTTTCTATCCCTCTCTGCCTCTTCCTTCCTCACTGATTATATATATTTTAAAAAAAGAAGTGTGTGTATAAGAGATTATACAGGATAAGGCAACAATATCTTTTAAAAAAATTACATATGATTGACATACACAAAGCTGTACCTATATAACATATAAGACTAGATAAGTTTGGAGAAAAGTATACACCCATGACATGGTCACCACATTCTGTGATTGACAATCTTCATGGAAGAGTTACACATAAGATGTAGGGGGCTAAGCTGTTATTGCTGAAGCTTCCCATGTGATGGAAGCACAAACAGGTCAACTGATGTCTTCAATCTGCAATGAGCAGCCTGATGACCATGGTACTGAACTGTGAGTCTCCAGGATTCTGCCCTGGGGGCTGTTAGAGCCGTGGCTCAGATGCGGCCTGCTGTTGATGGGGACAGTGGGGACATACAGAAGGGCAACTCAGCTGTCTTTTATGGAGAACCTGCTTCTGTGAACTTAAACCATTTTTTTCATTTTGCTTTCTTTTTTTTCCCCCACATCCACAGCTTTCTGAATTTCTGGATGATCCTGAGTCTAATCATTATATATTTTTTCAGTTTTAGAAGTAGGGTAACATAAGATAGAGCCTGGTGTGGTTCATGGCTCAATATTAGTGAAGATGAAGAGTGTATATGTTCTTTTGGTGTTTTTCTCTCCACCCCTCAACCTTAGTATATCTTTTGTTGATCTGGTTGACACATTGTAATGATTCATATAGGATTCCACTGCATCGACATACCTAAATTTGCATTCAATATCTTGTGGAAGATCTGTTTGCAGATTTGTTGTAATTTGGGTGATTTCAGCAGTGGTGACTGTTTTTGCTGATCTAGTCCCAGGCTCACTCTGAGGCAGGGTAGAATAGTGTTTAAAAGCATGGGCTCTAGAGCCAGATCTTCAAGTAATCAACCCCCAGTAAAAGCAGATATTTTATATTTTAAACCCCTATGCTTTTAAACACTACCTGTGGCTGGGTTGCAGGTATCATCAGAACCTCGGGAAGCAGGTGGTAGGATGAGAATAGGAGAGTTATGTTGGGACACACAGTGTTGAAGGGACACAGAAAGAGCTGGGTGTGGGTGGCAAAGAGACGCTCCCAGAATAGTAGGGTCTGGTATGGAGAGAAGAGAGATTGTTTGAGGGTAGAATTGAATTTTGGAATTTATGTTCAAAGGTGATCTTTTTAGCATCACCCAAGAAGTATTGGGTTTTGTGGCTTCCCCATATGTAGGTCTTTATTCTAATTTGGGACCTAATGGATACGTGTTATTTGCTATCAGCATCTAAACGTATTCGTTCTGAGCTGAGGTGCTGATTTCTCCTTCTGAGCTTGTATCTTGGAAACTCTACAACTGGGCCCTCTGCAGCAGTTCCGAGGGCCTGAAGAGACATGGGAGGAAAGCTTGTTGGCTCGGGAAAGGGACAGCTATGCTTAAACCCAGTCAGATGAGGTTTTAATTCTTGATTTCAACTCTTACTGGCTGTGTGACCTTGGGCAAGTTGCTTAATCTCTTGAGTCCTCAGTTTCCTCATCCGTAAAGTGGAGAAAACAATATTTCTATGATTGTGCCAATTAAATGAGAAAAGGCACAAAATAAGTATTCAATAAATGGCAGCTACTTTTGTGTGTATTCTTGCTATGCGTGCTATCTACTATGTACTGGAGGCAAGAGCGGTCATGGGTGTGTGCAATCCAAGCTCCCAGAATGAGACCCACACCTATGTAACAAGGGATCCCTTTCGATTTCAACCCATTCACTGTTGGTGGCTCGGCATATCTCAGCCATTCTGTCCCAACAAGGACCCGTAGAAGAGGCTAAGGAAGAGAGAGGCTTATGCATTTGCTTTGTCCGTGAGAAAACCTTAAATTCTGTCTCCGGGTAGAGAGGAAAGGAAAAGTTGTCCATGAGATTTCAGGTTCCATGAGGAGAAGGACATGTCTATTTGGGCAACATTTTTTGTCCAATGCCTGGCACATGGTCAGCAACATAAACACTTATGGAATGTTAGGAAAAGGCATCTAGAGGTGACGTGCCTCACTCTCAGAAACTCAATATTTGAGTATCTGCATTCATTCACAGAAGACCTTCAAGCGCTCCATCTGGACATTAGTCGAATACAGCCGAGACCATGAATTCTTTGCGCATTTGGACCTTTGCACTATTGCACATTTAGACCTCTGATCTGAAGGTGCTGGAAAGTCAGGGGACCCTCTGAGAAGCGTCTGTCTCCCCCCCCCCCCCCCACCTTCTTGGAGGAGACACACAGGAGGGCGCCACTCTCTTTTATCCTTCTCGAAATGGTGAGTGTGAGTGACCGAGGTCTCCTGGGGACAACCTACGAGAGGGCCAGGAGGCAACAGTGAGGAGGGGGAGTCTGGATATGACTTTGGAGTTTCCTAATAGCAATTCCTCCTGCACAACTCCCCACCCGACTCGGGATCTCTGGTTATCATCCTCCCCAGCCCTAAGAATCCTCCTGCCCTTGTTGGCAGGAATAGTGAGGAAGCATGCCCACAGGAACCACAACTCATGAATCAGCAGAGATAATTAACTGGGGGAATGACTGAGCAGCTTTAGGGAGAAACCACTGGACCTGACCCAGCCCCCTCTGCTGCCCACAGAGCTGGCCTGCTGCTCTATCCCATCACCCCCTTCTCCCTTCTGAACCCTGACCCTTCCTGAGCGGGAAGCTCATTGTGCCTGGTGGAGCTCAGGTCACAAATGGAAATGCAGGTGGGAGCAGGGGGATCACACTGCCTATTCTCCCGGTGTAAACCGCCGGTATTTATTTACATGTGAAACTCTCCATGCACACGGCATCTCCAGGAACACTCATTTTTAAAAGTTACGTTTATTGAGGTATAATTTACATACACTAAAATTTATTCTTTTTAGGGCATATAGTTCTATGAATTTTGACAAATGCACATTTAGGTAACCATCAGCATAATCGAGATATAGAATATTTCCATCACTGTCCACCAGCGATTTTCAACCCTTTTCATCTCATGGCACACATAAACTAATTATTAAAATTCTGCACCACACCAAAAAAATGTTATATTTTTTGCCAACCTGAGGGGGAAAAAAAAAGATACAATATTGACTCATTCACACTGGACAGTTATTGTTATGTTGGTTGTTGTCATTTTTTTATTTGACAATCTAAGGGAAAAGAAGTCAGGTATGGCATGTTTTAGAAATTCTTGCGGCACACCAGTGCGCCTGCCACAACACACCGGTTGAAAATCACTGCCCTAAACAGTTCCCTTGAGCTCCTTTGTCATCAGTTCTCTTTCCCCATCTTTAGTTCCTGGCAACTACT